TTTCATTCCTTGGTACTTTATTTTTGAATAAGATGCTCCACTTGGCCTCGTTTTGGCTACAATAGTTTAATAATTTGTTATTACCATTACTCATTATCATTAATGAAATAATAGTCAGTCAGAGGGCTTATTAATATGTAACAACATGTATACTAAGCCTGAAGGTGGCGCTTTACTACGACGGCCATCTTGGATGGTACACATACATAACTCTGCATTGCTGCGCCATCTTGTCAGCACTCTAGTTGTTTAATAGCTCTATGGGAATAACACGTCTGCTTGTTAAAGACGCGCGTGCGTATTCCTGGCCCTGTTCTGGTTGGTCAGTTTTTTCTTCCAGTTAAAGGACATATCTGGAGTGCCAACAACATACCAATAAGAGCGCTCTATTATTATAAGCCATCGCATGTCCCACAAACATGCATATTTGCGTACGCTTGACGTTATTAAGGTCCCAGACTCTAGCAACAGTATCCAGGTGGCGGAACTTAGCGCAAATGTTTAATAGCTAGCACTATATATAAATAAATGACATATTCAATAACTTACTTGTTGTTTAATAGGCTCAATTTTTACGTACAGTATTGGTAATATATTTATAACACCACCTGGAATAAATACAAGTCAACAATAAATTATGTATACATTTGTATGTATATGCCTGTGGTCTGATGGTATAATACTCGCCTTGATAGCGATAGGTTGTAAACTCGGCCTATATGTATATTGATCAGTACATACCTAAAGCAACAGTGCCCATGAGAAATGATGATCCCATATGACTAAAATCATTATGAATTGGGTTGTCAATTTTCGCGCCGACATCGATTGTTACTATCACCTGAATCAACAAATTATTATTATTATTATTATTATTATTATTATTATTATTATTATTATTATTATTATTATTATTATTATTATTATTATTATTATTATTATTATTATTACTATTATTATTACTATTATTATTACTATTATTATCATCATCATTATCACTATTATTATTATTATTATTATTATTATTACTATTATTATTACTATTATTATTACTATTATTATCATCATCATTATCACTATTATTATTATTATTATTATCATCATCATTATTACAGTAGTATTATTGTTTTGGATAATAATGATTTTTTATTTGTATAGTGAAATACACGGCATCTTATACGTTGTTAAAATGATTTTTATTATCGCCAGCTTCATCCTCGCAATCATCAATATCATATTTTCTTGTTTTAATCATTTTCCACACATGAAATAATTATCATAAATATATAGATGAAATTAAAATAAGTACGGTACAATTATAATAAAATTCAACTACTATAAAAAGTAGATTTTAGAAACTGCTGGTACATGATACAAACACCATATCTTTTAGGGAAAAAAAATATAATGTACGATATAATGTTAATAGTACAATAATAGGTACTGGTACTTAAACTAAGATGCTATTTTAAAAAAGTAACTGCGACAGAAATATGCATGTGTGGGTGGGGCTCAAAATATGTTCACTGAACTTTAAGTCATGAACCCAGTTAAATTAATATATAAAAATAACATAAGAAATATTAACATCTCCATCATACCATCACCTTTTCATCATCATCTCCATTATTCTCATCATCACCACCACTACAATCCATTTAATAAATCCTTATAATAAATGTATAATTGCATGAAAATATCTGTCTCTGCTACACGTATTACAATAAATAATGACCTACCACAGCTGTGAGTATGCTACATTTGAAGAGAGTTAGAATCGATATTGTGACCTTGATTATATCGCCAAAGATAGCGATACTGAAAGCAAGTATCCAGACAAAAAACGGAATCACGATGCCATAATTCCTTTAAAAAATGAAACGAAATGAATGCTAAGGATAGCAACAACAACCAACAATACAGCAACACAAAGTTACTATCCTATTACTGCAAAAATAAATACAATCTAAATCAAAAAATAAGTTCACACGATGTGTATGTCATATACTTGGTGAGAGATGAAGAAAAGTTAAGACTCTAACGTTTATTGATATTGATGAAGAAATTACTGTATGATAATCAGACGCAAAGAGAGTATTCCAAAATGCATGGTAGCACTTGTAAAACTCCCTTTTTCTATTTTTTTTTTTTTTTTTTTTTTTTTTTTTTTGGTCGTAAAAAATTTAGTAAAAGCCTTACTTATCATTCCAATTGTTATGAGGTATTAAATCGAAAGGTTTGGCAGTGGAAGCGTTTTGTCACAGCGATCATGTGTTCGAAACTGGCTGTGGCAAGACACTATCTGCGTTTGTGTCTCTCTCTACCAAGGAGTAATATTAGGCCTAGGTATCACCATATATGCTGGGAAAAGACTCGCTATGTGGTGATCCCTCAAAGCACTACACAGTCTAGTCCCCAACGCTCAAGAAAGAGGGGATGGGCACTCCGGACATGTACAGGTTGTGACTTCCTTTACTTACTAAAATCATCAAAAATTGGTTGCATATTTTTCTCCTAAGATTGTCAAATATAACAGTGGTCATATAAAAATAGAGACAGTAGATATTTTGCCGGTAGAACGCCTTTGTTTACATAGCATTTTCCAGAATAATAGTGAAGCCGGCCAAATATAATAATAGTAATAATAATAATAATAATAATAATAATAATAATAATAATAATAATAATAATAATAATAATAATAATGATAATAATAAATAATAATAACAATAATAATGATAATAATAAATAATAATAATAATAATCTAAGACCTTACTGAATTCCGAGCAGTTGTGCAAACGCTTGGGGTCCTGCCAGAGAGTAACTTATAATGATTGCTACGCTGAAGGAAAGAACAACAATTTATGAAATTTAATAAGTTTAAATTGAAAATATATATAGGCCTACCGTATTTACCACCGTTGAAATTTGAGCCCAAGACTTTCTGATCTGTAAGAGTTTTTCACTCTTCGTACTTCTAAAGGAATTCTATTACTATTTAACTATACCTATAAATAAACCAATACTTAACTCACAGCATTAAAAACACGGTTACATCAAAAGGTATCCACAAATAATATGGCATGTATAATAAGGATAATTGGTGTAAGTTGTTATAGTTGTCTTCATTCCTTGACCAAATATTGCGTAAGACATCTAGAAGCGGGAGGACAACAGACATAGAAAGGAAAACACAGTATATTAACACAATAATGTTTAATATTATTAACAAACTATATTATAATTAGGCTTATTTCAAAGGCTATATGCTTAATGGAAACTGAGGGCCTCAAAAAACGTCCATGAGGCTTAAAACACATCGGTCTGAAAAACTGTTACAACGTAGGTCAATGAAGTCTCCATCTCAGGTAGTTAATATTACTCCATATTTCACCTTAAATTGAGGAAAAAATAATGACTCATTTTTACCGGATCTTTACCTTATCCGACCGCATGGCACTGTTTACGTAGTAGTTTTATATGGTGTGCCAAAGAGCAACAATAAACGTACGTAAATCCATGAACCATGTTTTGCAAATCATAAAACATGATCTTATTACTGCATATATGATATTACGTAAAGAAAATAACTGAGTGAGATAACATGCAACACGCAACCAATCTTCTTTTAACGGTTCTTTTAATCTTCGTGTCGAAACTAACCGCGACGTTCACATACTAGGGTAAAGCGAAGCGTCGAGCGCACATTAAACATGGCCCGCGGAAGCGGGGGGGGGGGCAGGTATATAATGTCTGGAGATTTTTGTATGATCGGAAATGCAAAAAAGAAGAAGGGAAGAAGGAGGAGAAGGATGGGAAAGAGAATGTTTATCCAGTACCCGACCGAGTGACATGTTCTCGCAATTCACATTGGCGGATATGGGGAAGGGGGTCATGGGTCCTGAACCCCTCCCATGGGCAACAAGATAAGGGGAAAAAGAAAGACAAGGGGAAAATATCCATCTGTGGAAAATCTTTCCCCATTGAATGTCCTTTTCACCCTGGAAAGTGCCTGAAAACCTCAAATTTTAAATCGCATATTTTGTTGAGGTAAGCCAATTTCCTCTAAAAATTGCACATTTTAGGGTGTTTTGATCAATTCCGACGAAATTAGAATTAAAAAAACAAAAATTTTTCGCGCACTTCGCGCATTTTTTAATGTTAACGCTTGTGCTTGCTCTCCTTTGCCTTCGAAGTTATAACACATAGTCCAAAACTCAAGAAAGAAAATTTAAATAGATCGTTTTACCTAAAAGAAGGGCCTCAATGTGTAATGATGTTGAAAGAATATGTTTGTAATAAATAAAGCAATAAGGAAAATGCTTATATTCAGTTTTTAAAAAAAACGAGTGTGGCCATATATAACATAAGAGCATTTCTTGTTGAGGTAGGCCAATTTCCTCTAAAAATTTCACAATTAGGGAGTTTTGATCAATTCCGACGAAATAGAATTAAAAACACAAAAATTTTGTTAGGGTTAAAGCTTGTGTTTGCCCTCCTTTACCTTCTAAGTTATTTAAAAACATATATAATCTCAAACTTCAGAAAGAAAATTTAAGATAGATCGTTTTACCTAAAAGAAGGGCCTCAATGTGGTATGATGGTGAAAGAATAGGTCTATGATTGTAATAAATAAAACCACAATGAAAATGCTTATATTTAGTTTCAAACACACGTGTATGGCCGGCGTTGGTTTATAGTTTGTAGTGTTGCTATATTACGGAGCTTTCAATTGCACGACGAAGTAGGACGTAGAACGTAATGACGTCACTAAAAGTCATCTGCGCATGCGAGAACGTTAAGGTTACCTCGTCGAGTAGATTCTGGAACGCAATTTGGCCAAATCTACGTATGCAACGTAGGACGCCAGGTAGGACGGTCATATGGCAAGCCGTTTTATCATTTACCTCTGAATTGCAGTTAAGTCGAATGCATTACAGTTAACTGTAATTCAATTACAGTTAACTCGAATGGAATTCAAGTTAACTGCAATACATTGGAATTGCAGTTAACTTGAAATGAATTAGAGTTAACTCTAATTCAATTGCAGTTAACTTGAATGCATTTCAAGTTAACTTGAATGCATTTCAAGTTAACTTGAATGCATTTCAAGTTAACTGCAATTGACCATTTTTTGGTAATTTCATCAAGTGATTGTGATTGGCTGCTGTATTTGAGTTAAGTGCATTCGACCAATATATGGGAATTCCATTAAGTGACTGTGATTAGATGTTCACTTATAAGGTATATTTCCATTAAGTGATGGTGATTGGCTGTTGAATTTTCCGCCTGTGAATCGTCATCGACTGCCTAGAGCTAGAGAAAAACTTTTTAATCCTTTTGCTATACGGTTTAATTGTGTTTAAGTGGTTTATTTAAAAAAGTACGAAGTTACCCAAAATTAAAAAAAAGTGTTATGTCTGAATCTGGGAGGCATTTGGAGCAAGTGGCTAATGTGGCTTCTCAAGCTATTGCGCGTGCCAGAGACCACGTCAGGCATAGGCCTTCTACTACTACTGCTGCCAGTGCTACGAGTAGGCCTAGTACTGGTAGTAGTAGTAGTAGTAGTAGGCCTACTACCACCACGTCTTCTAGGCCTAGTAGTACTACCACCGCGCCTGACCTAGGCGGGCCGCCAAGGCCTACTGCTGTGTAATGCGTATTCATTATTATTAATCCTAATTTAACAGGCTTAATTAAGGCTTATAGGCCCAGGACTATCATTAAGTAATATTATATTAGCAATAACGTTCTGTAATTAACCTAGAATCAGGCCTAGGTCTAGGCCTTTAGGAGGGCGTATACGTGGTAGTTGAAACGGCGTTTTTCCTTGTTCATCTGCCGTTGTAGGCCTAGGCCTAGAACTACCCCTATTGCTCGAGCCCCTCTACCACCCTCCTCAGTTCGTCCACATGGTCAATCATATTGTATTGATTGTACCACTTCCTCCAATGACTGTTGGTCTAACGTCGCAGAAATCCTATTTACATTACGAATACATGTTCTTAAATTATTCTGTAATTGATTATAATCAGTATTTCCCTGTTCTAATGTTGCAGTAACATTACGAACAGAAAATACATCAACAGAATGATCAGACGCAATTTTTATTAAATTTGAACGACCGTTTTGATGATTTGTTTTTTACCGGGCAAGTACGACCGGAAAAAGCACATCAGCCAATCACAGTTACTTAATGAAAATACACTATAACTGTAATTCAATCAACTGTGGCTGACCAATCATATAGCACTGATATTACGTAAACGCAAACAACCAATCGTTACACCCAACATCTGAAT